AGCCACCTGCCACTCATGGTATTGACGGCACCGAAAATTATACCGGCTCGGTCGTCGCCCGTGTTACCAAGGGCTGTGCAAGTTGTTGGTGGACTGAGGCAGATTGCGAAAAGTCGCCGATTAGAACCTCCTCCTCGACCTCTGCCAGCCGGGGGCGTAGCAGCACAGCGAAGGCTGACGAAGACCGACGGAACGACCAGGATGATATCAGTCAGCAACGGAGTCGCAACCAGTTATCAACGGAGGAGACAGGGAGCGCGATGCCATTATATAGCAGGGCAGAACACGAGAACACCGCCAGTGGGTGCTTAAAGTTAGAAATTGGAACATATACTCACTCAAAGGGAAAGAGCGAGAGTTAATTAATGAGGCTATAATGTGTCAACTCGACATTGTTGGGCTCTCGTCAGCGAAGCGCCAAGTCTCTGGAATCCTGAACCTCAGCGGGTGGAAGCGATTCTACTCAGATGTCTCTATCACAACGCGCGTTCAGGCCGGGTTTGCTCTTCAGGAATGGGACACTACCTGGCTGATAGAATCATCCATTGGAAGCCTGTCAGCTGAAGGGTGGTAACTATCCGACTGAAGCTACAACAGGCTAAAGCATTGACCTTCCTTCAGGTCCATGAGCCTAATTTTAAGGGAGAATATGAATCCTTCCTTCAGCAAGTGGAGTGTGCTCTGCCCGAAGAGTGAATACACATTCCATCATATTCATGGACGATTTTAATACGCTTGTCACGGTATACGCTGCAAAGTGGAACGGCATGAGTCGAAAAAATGGCCACACCGACCTGAACAATAACGGCATGAAGTTTTTGCGTTTTGTACAAACAACGGACTGTCCATTATGAACACCTTCTTCGAGCATCGAAGAGTGCATCATCATACATGGTACAGGAAAGCTAATGCACAGAACTCGATGATCGATTTCATAATCGTATAGTCTGACGTAAGACGCTCAGTAATGGATGTTCGCGTTAAGAAAGGCGCAGAGTTATCAACCGATCAGCACCTTGTTGTTGGCACGCTGCGCTCTAAGAAATGGAGTATCATACGAAGATCTGATGGCAGAAGCAACCAGAGAATCAAATTGGGGGCATATCTTCGTGACAGGAGAATGAAATTTGCAAACAAAGTCACACGGCAGTATTAACAGATCCCGGTGATGGTCGGCGATGTGGAAAGCACGTACCAGCTCTGTAAGAGCGGCATACTCGAGGTTGCCGCAGAATGATGTGGATTTAAACGGGTTGGCCTGTTGCCTGGCGGTCAGAAAAGATCTTCCTGGCGGACACGAGAGGTATATCTGGCAGTTAAAGAGAAGAAAGCAGCGTTCAAGAAATGGCTTGGAAACAAAGAACTTTCAACTCGCGTGCTATATATCGAGGCACGCAAGGCGGCAGCGAAAGCCGAAGCTGATTCCTGGGAGAGGTTCGGTGAGGTGCTGGAGTCGAATTTTCACACGGCAAACAAAGTGTTCTGGCAGACCATCCAGGCTTCAAGGTGAAAAAAGGGT